TTGACGATGAAACTAAAAAGTTACACAAGCTTCTCAGATTGAGGGCCATGGGGAAGATTAATTTTAAATTTACCATGTTTTAACCATTAATAAATAAAGTTAGATGAACAAATAAACTAAATTGCACAAATCATGAAATCACAAATCAAATATCCCTTCTTGTTTGTTGTTATCGCATATCATGTTGATATGAGCCAAGATGAAACAAGAAAGACTGCTCATATAAATAGACGTACAAGCCTCAAGTTGTGGCACGACGTACGTAAATACTCAGTATGTTTTGTTTCGCGGCCGCTGGGTCTGAAAAACGGAATAAGAAAGTTTACATGTTGTAGGCGAGGAAATGAGTTTCTAAGGATCGGAGATCATAAAACGCATTTCCGCGGAGCATGGTCCCACGCGGTCACCCGCGGGAATAGACGAAGTATCCACGCCGCATTATTAAAGTCATGAATCTTTCAAAAATTATAGATAATACAGAAATAACTAGAATGAAGTCCTTATCTCTCCATGCAGTACGTCGCCTTCTTTTGTAAGGCAAAGGCGTGTCATTCTCGTTATGAAATTAATTTTTAACGCCATCAATCCTTCGGTTACATTGTACCTAAGGGTATTTGAGACCGTCGGGGAGAGAGAGAGAGCGAGAGAGAGAGAGAGAGAGAGAGACAAAGAGGGGAAGTCAATGTATTTTGGTAGTTATAGTTACCGTAGAAGTACACGATGTCTTATTGTACTTGTGCATGTATGCGCCAAATCCGATACCGTATACGTCAATCTAGTTATCGTTATACTGGATATGACACTGGACACTTATCACGACACCGAGAATGATTAATTAAGTTGACAGGAGAGAGGTTCTTCAATGAGCTGGTCTGAACAAAACAATCGGCTAATCAAGAAGGTAAAATTTTAGTAGTTCCATGACAGTCAACATATTGGAGCCAACATATAGACATTAAACATAAGGCAAAATGTGATGGAACAATGTTCTATAGGTTCCAGGGCAGTGATGCGTTAGAACTAACAAATAGGCATTATACACAAGGCAAAATATGACATATATGGGGGGAATGAGACACATTAATTTAAAGAGGGAAAAAATAAAACATTTCGTATTTTGAAAAGTAGTTTGAATCATACATTAGCCTGAACTTAAAACAATGCTAAATGATACCTTTTTATTATACTTGTTTCATAATGGACGTAAAATAGTTTTAAAATGATCCCAGCATATGATGAAACCACAAGCGATCCAGTGTCTTTTGGAGCCAGGAAGTGTTGAGAACTAAACAAATAAATAGAGTAACAAATGAAATATTTTATTGATAATGTAACTAAACAAATCAAATTTCAGAGGACAAAAACGGCGAAGATACTAGGAATACTTTTATTTTTGGCACGTCAAATCAATTCGAAGTTACACGTTAGGAGTACATACGTGCATATTTAATAGAACAAATACAGACAAGGCGCTTATTAGTACATATCGAGTTGTATTTGTTAAAAGAAGTGAACGGAACTGGAGGCGAAAAAAAGATCAATGACATTTCTGAGGTAGTCTACAATCTTCTTGAATTATAATTCTATCTTGTAACATGTAAAGTGTAACAGGACTTTTGTAAAACCCTTGCAACTGATTGGTCACGCTGTTAGTCTAGATCACAGCGCCATCTCGCGACAATTCTGAAATGATGTATCCAAAGTCAATATTTGAATGTCTGTATCCGTTCTTATCACATTTAAGGCATTTTCGACAAGAAAATGACATCGAAACTGTCAGATTGATTAAGCGTCTATCGAAATAGGGTATATTTAGATCCCGTTTCCACTTCTTATAATAAAATTAAAAATGCATTTACTTGTACGCGTGTCCATAAATTCGATGTTTTATTCCATTTTTAATTTAATAAATTAGTTATAAATGACTGACCAGCCATCCAGACCACCGTGTCTTCCTGTGCGTTCCGGAAGAAACTGTCGACGTCGGGCGATTTTCTCCTTATTAAAGTCCGGATTGGGAAATATGAGAAGCTTTGAAGGATAGTCTATGTGGACAAAGCAAATATGACTTTTGGATATTTTCAAAAAGCGTATAGTACAGCGTGTTGTGAAAGGGTCAAACGAAACATCTTTGTTAATTATAGCTAACTTTCCTGATTCTAAGTATTTAATAAGGCTCTTTAATAGGCATCTGTATAAGTAAAACGAAACATAGTTGTTGCGAATTTAAACCACTTTGTAATAAACATTTGCAAAGGTAAGACGAAACATCTTTGCTGAAATTAGATTTTCTGATTTTACGATTTTAAAGACGTAACAAACAACTGACATTGCTGAGTGTCATTGTTTTTATCTTTTCATCATCTTGGCCATTTAGCATGTAATGCAATATGATATACTGTGTGCCTTTCATTTGATTTGGTTTTGTTGCCTAGGGTGTTTTATTTGTAATTTATAGGTTGTGAATAGTTACATTGTAAAAAACGTTCACCTTTACGAAATTATATAATAAACCGTTGAAAATTTATTTTCTCTTCACGGTAATTTACATAATTTATCAACCAATTTGCATTTACGTGAGCACATCTATTTTTGAATACGTTTCGAATCACTATACGGACTATACGGAGCAAGGAAAGCCGTTTACGCGAGGCCCACAAGAAAAATGGTTAAAAAAAACGACCCTTGAAGACGCCGCAGAAGCCGCTCTAATCTCTATCGCCATTTGTGAGTATTTGTGGTGATTAATGCGTTATGTCATTTGGGGACAATTTATTACTTTCATAAAGTAATTGTGCTCTGTATAATTGTCACAAGCAGTCAATCATGGCATGCAATAAGATCGCTAGCGTTGATAATGGTCCAATTATATGGTAGTCTAAGGGAGGCGGACTCCTGTACAATGCTATTGGCACCTTATTAAAAGGTTGGCATTTTTTTCGTTAATTGAGAAGCGTGCAACTTAGCTAACTAACAGCCGCATGGCATTGGTCGCGTCCTCTACTAATGTATCTGTTGATTCCTAAAGACATAGAAAACACATGAAAAATGATTTCGTAATGTCTTGGTTCAGAGTTTCTATTATCTAATGGGATAGCGACAAAGTGCAGAAAAGTCAGCAGGATCGGTGACTACTCAGTAATAATCTATGTGTTCGAGTGCCGAAAAAATTACTGCAGAGTGTTTTTGCCAAATTAGAGAATGTCTATATAGAATGATTACAATAATAATCACAGCCCTTTTCTCAGATAATAAGTGTTATTATAGCCTAATTCGTTACCCCCTCTTGCTGAAAATCTGCGAAAATGGTAGTCAGGTGTGGTCCGTTAGGGAAGGCGGATGGTACTGTTGATAAATTGAACTCGCCTAACTGTAGTGATAGAAGCAGTACATTTGGTACACTGGAAGTGATGGTACCATTTGGCCCTTTTGTAAACAATATGTAGCAGGACCTCAGCGAGTCAGTTGGGTTTAGTTACACAATCCGCGCTATTGATGTGGTGTACTATTATGAAATGCAACTTTTTTGTTGCTTCCTGTGTCTCGGCCAGTGAAAGTTGAGTTAAGGGCACACCAAAATATCTTAAGTTAATAGACAAGGCGTGGGCAGGAATGTGACGACTTGATCTGAGTACAAATGTCGATATTTCTATCATCTCTTTATAAAAGATGATGCATTACACCCAGTAACAGGTGAGCTTAATATGAATGAGGTGCCAAAATTGGAAATTAATAAAGCACGATTGATACCCGTTTTGTCCAATGCGACAAATACATACCATGGAAAACATACTACACAAAGGGTTTAGTTTAAATTATACATAGTGTCTATGAAGAAAAAATTATCCAAATGCATGTTGAAACAGAACACAACACCTAACTCAAGATAGGTCTGATAATTTTTGAGGCACGTATTCGTTTTTCTTTCAATTTGGTATTACTGAAAAGATATTCGACTATTTCGACAGAAGACACCTTACTGGTTTCTGCAAGAACAGTGCAAATGGTCTTAGCTTGGTTCGTCGATTTAACAAACATGGCCAAGAAATGCAGTCTGGTTTTGTATGAATTAATGATAACGCAACGATCAATCTGTCTTTATGTCTACAAATTTGTCGCCTCGACAACAATACCAAGATATTAAATTTTCATGTCAAGTGTTAAGGCGTGACTGTGTTTGTACTTCATCTGAAAAGAAAGTACCCAAAAAGAAGAATTAAATAAAAGAAAAAATTCATTGTAAACATATAGCTCACGCTGAAGGAGCGTGAAGTCTTCTTCTTCTAGGTAAGTTATGAGTGAATGATGTGTTCCGGTTTAAGGAAACTCCACTTGAATGAAGAAAGAAGAAAAAGAGTGGGCATGATGCACTACTCAAGGGAAATTGAAAATGCAGCGAAGCTTTCGATTTGAAAGATGTTCATTTCTTGAGATAAATTCATAAAGCATTCAGCAACAGGTTGTGGCGTTGATGGTAGAGAGAACACAGGTCTGCACTGTGGATGCAATTCAAAATGATCGTCTGCCAAAATTGCCTTTCAAAGTTCCCTTTATTTGTCGCTGTTAACAACGGTCACTATTTTTCAAAATCTATTCTTTCTCCAACCAACCAACCAGATGTTTAGATATACCACAAATTCTGAGTGCACGCCAACTAAAACGAAACCCTCTGGTAAAAAATATCTGTTTGTTTTGACAACACTCTTCCTGAATTATTACCTTAAGCCCGACGGATTATCCAGTAAATTCCCAGAAAACACTATAATACAAATAGCATTTATGCGGCCCATAAAATTAATTGCAGGCGCCTCGGCTTAGCATGAAATCTTAATTTTGTACTCTCTACCGCAGTGATCCTTGTGGGTTAATTGTGAAGTGACGTCATGGTGCTCTGTCCGTCCATCTGCCTGGTACTGTACTATCACAAAGCAGAGTAGAATATGCAAATGAGCCAACCGCGGCTTAGCTCTCAGTTATTATGACGTAGAAGGGATCGCCACTTTTACTTCCCTCTCGCAGGCGGTTACTCTTATAAAGGCCCCTGCGAGTCAGTTGGGTTATAATGAAGAAGGCAAGATAAGCGCGATGCATCCCCCAGTTTTGTTTTGTTTCGTATGTGCACAAGTCCTTGTTACCTTTTCCTTGGAAACTTTGCCAGTTGTCTCCTCACTGCAGCAGCTGCCTTACCAGCCACAAGATGATGCAAAGCACGCAGACGACATTTCAACAAATGACGAGAACATGCTGGAAGACCTAGAGGGGATATTTTTTGGGAGGGAGCCCCCCGAACAACACCATTCTCTCTATCCGGTCGTGAACCAAGACACCTTTGGACTTTATCAGAGATTTGACAAAAGGCGAGACTTCATGGGCAAACGAAACGCAGAGATGAGTAAACGTAACGAGGCCTTAGCAAAAAGAAGAGACTTTATCGGAAAGAGGCGTGACTTTATGGGCAAGCGACGGAGTTTTATGGGAAGGCGCTCTGAGGCGGAGGACTTTCCCAAAAGCAGAACTTTAAGTGGCAAGAAGTCAGGCGACGATGCCTATGCACTCCTGTTAAAAAAGAACCGCGGGTTTATGGGGAAGCGGACCCGAGGATTCATGGGGAAGAGAATCAACTTTCAGGTCACAGAGGTGAGAATGTAGTGAGTTTTTTTACTGTTTTGACCAAGCTGAAAAAACGATACTGGTTGATAGTTAATAACCTTTACATCATTTGATAACAGTAGCAGAAGGCATCAGTTACTGAGAAGTCATCTCGCAAAAATTCAGTCCTTAAATAATATAATTTACATTATTCATGCTACAAAACATATTCTAAGCAAATAGAATTAATTTTGAATTTTTTGCAGTAAAATGTGATTGCATATATTAATGAATTCCCGTGATTGTGGATACCTTTATGCCCCCCCCCCCAAAAAAAAAAAGGACTTGCAGTTTGTTAGGGGCTTATGTTTTTTGTATGAATAGAAAAAAAATTCTTCCAAAAACACATGGCATCTTCACATTGTTTGATTTTGAAACATCGATTTAAAGCAGCTACTGGATTTTGATAATTACATGTTCTCTTTACTGTACCATTTTCTCCTTAATACTTTATACTGCTCCCGAGGACCTTTATTGTGTTTTATAAAAATAATCGTCTACTCACCTATAGGTCCAATGTAGATCTGAATTTTAAAAAAGTCTTTAAAATAATGATTCTCTGAATAAGATTTTTACAGAAAATACTGTTTGTGTTCCTTTGTGTACGTTTGTGACGTAGGATGCAGCTGAAAAGGCACCGATATTCCAATGTGACTTTAATCTACATATACAAGTAAATGTATGTACATGTATATAAGTCCATTATAAACTTTTTTATTTGTACCTCTGTTTTTGTATATGATTCTGCAAACAACTGAAAAGACTGAAAGTAATGTCAATATCTACCTCTATTCTTCTCCTATACATTATTACTGGTACTTTACAGTGATTTGTGACTCTGTGTGCGATTGAAGAGATAAATTGCCAATTTCGTTTATATCTACAACTATCTAATTAAGAGATAGAAATATTGCCCACAGTCGTCGGGATTGCATTACTTGCCCTAAGTCCCATTCGGCAAAATAGAGAAAATTACTTAGACGACAGACAGACGAATTTCACATGTGGGTTCATTACCTTACAATTATGTAACTGGTGGATACACTCAATAGACACTGAAAGCCGCTGAATGACTATAATGGTCCGGTTTCAGAAAATGCCATTTTCCGAAAACTGCTCTTATTTTTTGGGACATCATTTGAGGCTAGTTCGACTCAGGCTAAAGCAGCAGTAGTTTCATTAATTGAATTTTTTGTCTTTTTTACTACTGAGAAGTACAGGACAATGTTTCAGACAATTAAGTCCTAAGATTATCTAAATATATACTACTTTGGATTTTGCTTGAACTGAAATAGACCAATATTTAGTTTTAAAGTTTACTCCCGTTCTTTGCCTGAAGCCCTTAGTTATTACGAGACGTTTTGTAGCCGTAGTGAGCGTAGGAAGAAAATGTGTGTGTGTGTGTGTGTGTGTGTGTGTGTGTGGGGGGAGGGGGGGGGGGCGGGCTTAATATTCTCCATTCATTAGTGGTGGGTGGGTTTGGTGGGATCCAACCTTGAATCCCTCCCGCTCCTACGCCTATGGTAGAAGTGCAGGCGATTTCCTTTATTTCTGATTGCCAGCTTTGCTACTATAAACTTTACCCACCGAATCCTGGGACGCCGTGTGACATTCAGTACGTTATAGTAGTCCGGCAGTTGACCTTTGATACGAAACCCAGGGTCTGCCGTTAACCTTCAGAACGATGACTGACCTGGGCTTGACCTTCTTATCGACAGTCTGATATTTTCTTTGAAGTTGGAGGTTCCCAATATGCTTGACAAATGCCAACATTTTCGTGCCACAGTCTTCAAGGTCCATTTGAGCGATTATTTTGAGTGCTTTTTTTATTTTTCGGGACAAACGCAGTGGTTTAAGCATTTCTCGTATATATTTTATAGTGTAAAGTTATGTATGTATTTTATAGTGTAAACTTCACAGAGGACTGATCCGCCATTGCCATCAATTGATGGCGTTAATACAAATAGGTAAATTATCTTATGACTCCCCAACGCTCCCCACCAACCCCTTAATAGAACCTAATTTGCCATTCCCGGAACATAAACACAATCACCTAACACATTTCAGGGGAAGGAAATAGTGTAGCTGTCTAAATTTTGCGTGCCTATTTTAATTACATCATTTATAAATCTAGCACGCTCTCATTACGTCCCCGTTCTCAATAACCTTAGCTGTCGAGAGAGTGCGCCCTCCATTAGATCCCCACAGGTTAGAGTAAACGTGACGTAAGTGGGTCAAAATCAGGCCTTGCTTGTATAAATCAGTGGGAACCGGACTCTCTCTATCGTGGGTCACTTTATTTATCCTGGCAGTTATCTTGTCTGGGATTTCCCCAGGGATTGCGTCAGTAAGTATTGTTTAAGGGGATTGGTGGGGATTCGCAGCTTCCTTTTTTGCTGGATAATGGGGTGGGTGCTACTGGTCTGATATGCTCTGGCAATATCAGATTAGAGCATTGAGGTAGTTTTGCATTGGCAATACATTTTTGGTGTAAAAATAAATAATGATAATGGCATCCATAGTACCATGAAGCAGCGGCAATGTACCTTTAATGAAACTGAGGGAGCCCTTTGTTAATTAACCTTTCTTTCATTTACAAATTGTGTTCCAGACCTAACTATCATTTATGTTAGGTCAACCTTTCTATATTATCGAGCCAACATCAAGTTCCAGAATGTCGTTAGCATTGGTAGGTTAGCAAACTTAAGTACACGTAAACTAGCGACAGAGCTGACGAAGTCTATTATTAAACACTTTCAAGTACTGTTATTTTGTAACCTTGAAATGATATAACGTAGCCTAAATCGACATGTGCTTTAATGCATCGCTTAATAACCCAGGCCTCTACCAAATGACCGATAATTAACTTAAAAACGTATTTCTTGCTTCATCGTGTTTTTGCCGTGTTGATAAATGAGCTTTCCGTTGAAGATCGCTGCAGCCTGAATAGCTCCAGAAAACAGCGGCAGTGACATCTTCCTCGAGCCAATGCTTACTTTCTCTGCGATCAATGGAGAAGAACACAAAGGGCTTTTTCATCTGTTTGTTTTACGTGGGTTGTCGCTTGAATGGGTACATAGAAATTGCTGCGGTTAGATCCGGTAATTAAAGAAGTTACAGGAACGATGATATGTCACGCCGTCACGGACGTGCGACGACGTTTAGATAGTTTGGCTTAAGCTAGAAAGGGTCATGTTAGGTAAAAGATACCAATAAGATAAAAGTAAATGGTGGGATAACTTTTGTTTTAAGGGAAACTTCAAATTAGTTGTATTTTTCACACCCACATTACCATTTAACTGAACTCTCTTCTGTTTTCTGAACAGTTTCATTTTATTTCTTAAAAATAGTCATCGCTTTTTTTATGATGTGCTTTTTTGTTTGTTCATTTATTTCTTAATTGTAATAAAACTTATTGATAAGAATTATTAAATCACTTTCTGAGGAATGGAATTTAGCCAGTCCTTCAGAAGGGTGCGTCTGTCATGAGTACTTGGCTACATTTGGCACAAGTAATCTCCAACATAGATATATAAGTTGAAAGGCAACCAGCCCTTAATTTACAAAATCAAGAGAAGTCTATCTGACCGTATGTGGATGCTGTTAGGCAATGAATAGAAAATTGACAAATTCGACATATTTTTTTAAATTTCATATTTCAAAACGAACCATTTTTTGCAAAACTACCGAAGACCCGTAGTGTTTGTGTTGCTGTAATACAGAAAGAATAATGAAAGATACAACCCAAAAATATACCCAATATGTGTGAAGGTCGAAAACTGAAATCAAAGGGAGTTTTCAAGAACGTCTGTTAACATGCAGCCTTTAATGTCCTCTTTAATGCATGGTTGTCCCTGAACGAGAATATTTCATTGACGGCCAGTCTTTTTGAAAATAAAGTTACATCCAAATTAAGTACAAAATTTAATAAAATAAATGATATCAAACAAAACACGTGGCCAAGGAGTCCTGAGAATTCCACACTTACTAGTGCTACCGTACCGAAATCACATGGAAATAAATCAAAGTTATTTTCCTAACGAGTTTACCCATTCCCAGTTTATTATCACTCCTGGTAAGGGAATTAAGAAACGCGCCCTACAGGTAATGAAATTAATTACGAAAGTCAAAGGCGATTTTTATAGCACTCATTAATTGGCACTGCAATATTGCTTCCCTTTTATATTATTGCCAATAAAGCTTTCCTGTCAGCTACTGAAGATATTTAAACTGGTAATTTGGAATTAGTGGCATGATTTGTGCGATTCTGAATATGTCAAGACGATTCCATTGGCTGTCAGTTATGCCAACTCATTGGCGACTGGTTTCAGGTTTTCTGGAACATTTTAAGGCAACGGAGCACATTGTTGGTGGGAATTACACCGTATCCAAACTACGTTTTGTTTTCTTTTCAATTTCAATCGTATGCGCCAATATCCATATCTATCTTTCACTGCAATAAGCGTTTGGAGTTTGACATCATAGTTCAATTGTTGAAGTTTTGAAGTTCAATTGTTCACCGCATGGAAAATTAAATCGTTATAATGGTTTGCAATAAAGGAATGTCCTTTACTTTGATGAGATGAATGGCGCTTTTACATTTATTTATTTATTATATTTATTTATTTATTTATTTATTTATTTATTTATTTATTTTTGTTTTTGGCATAAAAGATGCCTACATGTATATTATGACTAATACAGAAAAAATGTTCTGACATATCTCGGAAAAGAAAAATTATTGTGATATTTGTTCAATAATAATAATAATAATAATAATAATAATAATAATAATAATAATAATAATAAGGTATGCAAGATGCTTTCCACGTCGGAGGGGAGGGGGGAGGTTGAAAGATGATCCCAATGACTTAAAAAAAATTTTGTTCTTCTTTTCAGGAAGGTTTAAAATGGGGTCTTATGGACAAATTTAGCAAAGAATTTCACCAGCTGTATTCTGTACTCGAAATTACAATGATAGCTTCTCCAAAGTACAGCAAAACGAAATAGCTATTCTTGGGGGGGAGGGGGGGGGCTGTCATTGGTATAAAGGTGTATTTTGGGTTTACCTTGAATCCACTAAATTATATGACGTGCTAACTGGCAATCAATCTTCCACTTTGCCCTCTTATCGACTCAAACGTTGGCGAAAATGATTGACGTTAAATATCTCTCACAAATATTGATTAGAAAATTGTTCATATTTGACATATATGGCAGAGCGAAGGTTGACATCCGTTTTCACTTAGGTTGATAACTTGAGATTTCGATATAAATCAAGCGATATAGGGACTATATCTAGGATTGTCTGGGAGATAATCGAATGACACCTCGAATGTTTAACCGAAAATTGCTCTTAATTGGCTGTTTCGAGAGAAATAGAGACACTCCTGTTATAAATCATTCGTTGTTTATGTTGAGGGCAAAGATTAATGTATAGTCGCTTCTGACATTATTTTGTTGATAGAGTGATATTATGTGGACATTAATAAGTCAGCTGGCAGGCGGTAAAATGCACTTACCACATAATATCAACGTGTCCACTTTCCTTACGCCTGGATTTTAATTCTATCATTAAGAGACAAACCATGTCAACTAAGCTGTTCAAGATTTACTTAATATCTGATAGAAATTCTTAACTTTTTTATTCTTTTTTGTCATGTTTTTTTAACAGGGCAGCGCCGAGGATTTTAACGCCGTAGAAATAAAATTCCCAAAATCTACTTGTGTATATAATTAGCTTTAGGTAATTCCTTATCATTATTTATTATCCCTCTATCCATTTTTGTCGTTACAGGACACAGGCTTTGACACCAATGGTGAGAACACCAGCGAAGGCAGATGCCGAACCAACCAAGACTGCAGCACCGACGCTAGCTGTTGCACCCTCTACCTGCCCTGGCTCGCGACCACGCAATGCCTGCCAAGAGGCAACGAGGGAGATGTCTGCGTACCGGAGCACTTGCACAAACCGACCGAACACTACTTCTGTCCTTGCCTACAGGGTCTGCGATGTGACGTAATAGGGGACTCAACAGACCGTGGAATTTGTATTAGAACCTGAACGTTGACGTCACAGTAAGCTAATGTACATCCGGGTATCTGCTTCATGTACATAGGAGGGACAGCGAGATCATAATAGAAACAGCATCACTCGTCGAAAGTCACGGCAAACCCATTGTAAATTGGATTATTTTCTTAAAGGTACTTTGAGTATCAAAAATATACGTACACATTGCACAAACTCGTTTATCGTATTTCTTTCTTATAAAGATTCCTATTTACTGAAGAAAATAAACAGAGCTCTGATTTTCGCCTGACTATTGTTTTTGAGTTGGTTTATTGCCGTGTAAATGATTAATAAATAGCCCAGACATCTTAGACGAGGACTGCCTTGTTAGGGTGGAGTGTTTGGTCGTCTCTCTGTTGACAGGCAATAATAATATAATGTAACTTGCAGACACTGACATCTAAATATATATGCCAAAATTTAAGGATTTAAGGATTACACAAAACAACTTTCGATGGAAATTTAAGTTGTTGCAATATTCTGGTAAACCTGTATTTAAATTAAAGGAGACGTGGTCGGCTTAAACGAAGTATTGCGCCTGTTTAACAAAAACAAAAAAATGGCTTATAGTTACCATTAGTAAGCAATAACGTCCAGTGTTATATGTAAGCAAAATTTACTTAATGTCAGTCGACAACTATGTAACGGAATTGTCCAGAATTCAAGTACACAACAATTTTTGGTCTTAAAGTGTACGGTCATTTTTATTTATTAATTTTTTTCTATCCCAGAAACACTTTAGAACAGTATCTTATAAACCGTAATTATCTGTCAACTTTTGCCATAAAATGAAAATAAAATAATTTACCAACAATTTACTGCTTATCCTCTGTCTCTGCCACAGCAAATGAAGGAAGTTGAAAAATCAGCAATCTGTATAGGTACCTTTGCATATCCTATGTCTCTGTCATGTATATAAATACTATATCATGCACATAAATACAATATATCAAATTTTTCTTAAATGAATAAGATGGGACCTTCAAAAAAATCCACTTTAAACGGATGCTTAGATGATATTCTATATTTCCATCTGTAACTTTGAGTAAACATTTCAATATTAGGGATGTACAAAGACAAGTCTATTCCTAGGGAGTCGTTTATTTTTCAAAAAATTTTAGATCGTTGTCTTATTCTTGGTGTCAATAAGCGGGTAGCCCTTTGCATTATTAGTAGGCCCACGTGCCTACCGTTAGTGCACGTGTCACTGAATCAAGAAATGAACTTACAAATATAGATGCATTAAATATTTATCTAAGCTGATAGCATGTCAAATTAAACTGACAATATTACAATAGCACTTGTCAGAAAACAAGAACGGAGATACACAGTTTGACAATATACTGTTCAAGTTGGCATGCCAGTTAGATTGTTCAAAGCAAAACAAAGACCGTTTTCCGGACGCTGGTTTGACACCTGTTTGGTTGCTAAAGAAAATATTATAGATAATTAATATAGAGTTTTTAACCTCGCTCTAAAGTTCTGAAATGATCGACACAAGAGAGAGTGAATCCTGAAGCAAGTACAGACGAACCGTTTCATCAAAATCTTTGTTTAATTGTTATTCCCACAGAATGTTTGTTCGTCTTTTTTTCTTTCCTTTTTTGGGGGGCAGGGGGGGGGGGTATTTTTTAAGAATGAAATACACGAATAAAAGAGATATTCAAAAAAAGGATTGGTCTACTTCTTTTTCTTCGTGCTCATTATTTTGTTGATTCTGTCGTACACTAACGCTATTGAGTTGCGACATATCTTGCAAATAACTGGAGGGAGCACATTTTCCTTGGACTATTTCGAAAACCGTCCAAACATTCGCAATAACTTTCAACAAGACTCACCAACAGTTGAGAAAATAAACTTTCTTTAATTTTTTCACATATATGTGAGCATGTAGGCACCTTACTCTCTGACCACAGGGGTCGCTTTGGTAGTTTCATTCAAAATTGTTGAATCGACCCCTGTGGGATTTAGGATGACCAAGCAGGTCGCGTTCCTCGCCAGACATACCCTGTGTATTTGTCAGTATACTAGAGACCCCTGTGATATGAGAGGGTAGGGACACCTCACCCTGGAGCTCAGAGGTCACTGGAGACTCGGCTCTGTCATCAGCATGGCTCTGTTGTTTGCTGATAGGCCATACAGAGGACAGTTTGAAGTCACCTTTGAAACTCGGGGTAGATCGGAAAACCTCGGTTGTGGATCATATCTGCCAAGAAGGCCCTACTTCTAGTTAAATGCGAAGGTTAACACTTAGAGATGAGTGCTCTGATCACACCTGCACTGCAGTTGATTTTAAAATTTATACTCCAATCACCTCTATGATGACAAGTGCAGTATCTGATAATATGACAATTCCATCATTTCTTGACAATTTTGCTTTATTAATCGCCGGTTGAATGTCCTGAAACTGAGAGTTAAAGAGAAAGGTGTGAAAGGATTACATCACAGGTTCCAGCCTGAGGGAAATCTCTGAAAACGCTTTTCTGCTAATATGGTCGTTAGAATGTGTTGCTGGGAGTCGCTTCCCCTTTGGGAGTCCCTCGCTAATATAGCAAAATGGCCATAGAGCAACATCACTTACTCCGTTATAGTTGGACTATGGCCCAAAGGCGTCAGCGCCTCATCGACAAGATATGAACTCTCATCACCCTAAGAGACCTTATTCGGCAACTCTCATCGCAATCTCTTGCAGGACCGTAGGGGTGGGGAGGGAAGCTGGGAGCTGTCAAAGGCCTACAGTATACTAGTACAAGCATTTTAATTATTTGTGCCGCCTGTGCTATTCATTAAAATAATGTTTATTTACAACCAAAAGTCGGCTGGTACATTTATAATACTAAAAATGGCAATTCTAAGAAAGACGTATTGGATATTAAAGCTTTATGTATTGGATTTGAAATTTTTGGATGTATTTGGTAAACAAAGTTGACAATGCCCAGGGTATAGATCGTCCATGAGGCTTTCACTGTTCTCAATTTTGGCACTTAATCTAAATACATATATCTTATTCTTAGCTTATAAAATTGTTCACTTTGTGTTGGTAAAAGTCCCTGCGAAAATTTGTCTCATTTAACCTTCACTTACGTACGGTTCTCAATCTATTCTAGAACATTTGGTGTATATTTTTTACAGTTCTAATGTTGTTCTGTAATGAATGTAACGGTTCGAGAACTGTTTCTGGGGAGTCCTTCACAATGTCCTAGAACAGATTTAGAACATTTTTCATTATATGAAAAACATCATGTTCCAGGACAGATTGAGCACCGTAAGTGAGCGTTAAATGAGACAAATTTTCGCAGGGGTGGTGGTGGATTTTGTGTTCACTAATGTACATTTTATAACATTCTTTTACTCAACTCGTGTAGTACGGTATAAGTAGTTTGGAGTGTTTCTTGATATGAGTTTTCAGGATATAGGCTAACGTTTTAAAACTTTCAGACACTGACTGAAGTAAAAGTGATCGAGATACTTCCGAATGGAGCTAGAGCTGCATGATTTGCAAAGAGAATGGAAAAGTCTAACAACTTACAAAGGTCCACCAAATCCCTTTTTGCTTTCGAAAATCTAAGTTAGGGCTATCTGTCGTTCAGGGAACATGGCATACTAAGTCACGTGCCCCTCCCTTAGCTCCGCAGGTACACACACACACAAAAGCCGTATAACGAGAAGAAATGTGTACAGATTGTTAAATGAAACCGTTTAAACCCCCTTTACACTGGACGGCGTCCTTTCTGCGTCCTTTGTGCGACCATGAAACTGGCCAGGACGCCGTCGGACGCTCAAAGAACGCACAGTGATCGCCAAGGTCGCACAAAGAACGGTCAAGCATCGCCGAGGACGCCATGGGCGCCGCGAAGTTTTGAGCATGTTCAAAACAATCGCAGAGAGAACGTGATGTAGGATGGTCGCTCAATGGACGCAGAAAGGACGCACAGGCATCGCCGTAGTCGCAGAGAGAACGCACAAGCATCGCCGCGGTCGCAGAGAGGACGCACAAGCATCGCCGCGGTCGTAGAAAGGAGGTACAAGCATCGCTTTGGTTGCAGAATGAAAACTCAAAGATCGTCCAGTGTTCGACACGTAGAACGTTATTTTTTTCACTCTCAAACGGGGCCGTGCTGAGGTATTTTTCACCAGACAGGAATTCTAAGGGTAACAGTGGTCTCATACCAGCCTCCGATTGTTTTTTCCCCTTAAATTCATGAAACGATCCATTTTTTTGAGGTTATTATTAAACGAATATTTTGCCTTTTTGACAAGATTAATTGTCAGAACTTTTTGCAGAATGCTTCATTTGAAAACAGATTCAAACATTCTGTGTTGTGTCAGTCATACTTTATCGTTTTCGGTCCCTGTCCATCCTTCTTATAAGGATAACAATGAGCATCTGGCTGATTATCAGTCCATGCAGACCTTGCATCACTATAGTTTAAAGCGTTTATTCCCATTTATTTGTTTTGTGTGCTGGAAATGTTCTTTATTGGATGACCTGGTTAGAACCGATGAAAAGATGAGTTAGAATATAGAGAAGGACATCCAAATAACGCTCATCGGTCAAGCAGGATGCAGAATGATCGTAGAATAGACGCCACTGATCTCCAATGAAGGTACAGAGAACGCAGCAAGAATGCTCAATGGTCTCTCAAACATCGCAATAGACGCCTTGGGTTGCACAGGGGACGTACAGTGGAGGCAGGCAGGTTGCTCGCAGTTTTACAGGTAAAATCAAGATACGGTCGTTCAAAGGACGCACAAGGGACGCAGACGCCTTTACACTGAGACACGATTTAATTGCTTTGGCGACCGTTGAGCGTCCTGACCACATTTTTCAACGCAGAAGGGACGCAGAAAGGACGCCGTCCAGTGTAAAGGGGCCCTTACTGTTTTACATTCGATGACAGAATTTGGGCAATTTTCTCTCATCCTCGTGGCGTCCTACCTGCCCCCCCCCCCCCAACCAACCCCTAAGAGCCTTACAGTAATGTACGAATAAATGAACCCCCCTGCCACGTTGATTTTTAATCATCTTTTTTCTCGTTGATAATGTAGCTCTCCTCTGTGTCTCTCCACGTGTTCCCATGGCTCTTCATCCAGGGCTAGGCGCACCTTGACACTGCCTTGACATTTGACTAGTTTGACCTTTGTCGGAAGTCTATGTATGGATCTTACGCTCGTATCGCTTATACCCCCTTTACACTGGACGGCGTCCTTTCTGCGTCCTTTCTGCGACCATGAAATTTGGCATCGCTGTGGTCTTAATAAGGAGGCACGAGCATTGATTTTGTATCAGAATGAATGCTCAATGATCGGCCAGTTGTCGGCACTTAAAGTATTATAATTTTTAACTCTCAAATGGGGCCGTACTGCTGGACGCAGAAAGGACGCCGTCCAGTGTAAAGGGGGCTTTACGAAGCTTACGATCTGTACTTATCAATCAGATTCATCATCACATTTGGGATATTTTATATCATCAAGTTGTTGTCACCCAATAATGAAGCGCAGTTAATGTAACGGAATGGTCGTTTTCCGCTGACGTCTTCTCAGCCCTTAGCAGCCTGTTACAATTAGTATAATCCCCAAATTTTCGAAACGACTTTTATGTAATGTACTGTGCAATTAAGAGTTGCTTATTTTAGTTGTACACCGTTAAAGATAGTAGCTATGATTGTTGCAGAAATAGAAATAGCATAAAAGGAAATTATTTGTTAACTGAAAATGACAAAATATGAGACCATTTTTTCTCTCTCTTCCTGGGAGTTGAACTTCAAGGTGAAGATGTTTATACACGGGTATGAGTATCTAGCCTCAAAGATCAATATGGGTAAAGCGACGCTGTTGACGCCACTGCAAACACGAACTCACTTGTTAAGTCTTTGAGAACGGTGCGTCTGTCACTGCGTAGAATAATTTATCTATGTTCATTCAAATTTTAGCGTTTTCTGTCGCAAAGCAATCGTGAGTTGAAATATGCGCATTGTGATGTATGGGTTGAAGAGCTATGATGATGTCACCCTCTTCCTGGGTATTGATCTTGAGATGTTAACAGAATAAATAAAAAAAGACGGCGAGAGGTTGATAGATCAGGCCACGAAGATTTAAGAGATCTGCAAAAGCATGACTTACTTATTTATATATTAGTGTATTTATTTTTGTCTATTTATATCGCTTCGCCTAGCAACATAATGGCTGAAAAACAGTTTGTTCCCTGTTTTTTTTCACATCGTTTGCTGCTTAGAGTTAAAGAAATCCAACATATACAGGTCTTCAATTCTCGGTATGCCCTGGAAGCCAACAATGGCGAAATCTGTGTGTACCAAAGCTTACCCTTCGTACCGGATATAAACTTGTATGGGATATCGCCAAATGAAAACAAATCTGCACAGGATGTAATTTCGCCAAATGTAATTGTTTTTTTTTTCAAAGTCATAAATTATTATAAATTGTCCACCGGTCCCTGCACTTGGATTCGAATAACTTAGTTCAAAACGGATCATGATAAATTTTGACAGTCATTGTCTTCCTTGCATTTGCCTTACAGGATATCTATAGATATAAAAATATGAGACATTCTCATACCTTTAATCAATATATTTATGTACAATCAACCAAGGGCCCTAAATGCATCAAACGTGTACATGTAGAATAATCGTTACTACTGACCGTTAACAACATTAACTCGCCCTGATAAAATATTGTTCGTCTGTAAAAAGTTACTTTGATTTATTGAATTCTATTCGTCACATATAGTCAATATACTACAACATGTATGTGGTACTAAGTATATAGCTAAAAGGTGCATCAGTATATATGGTATTGCAGTCTGCCGACTAACATGTGCATCTTCCAATCGGGCCCTTATATGGATTTCGGATGTTACTGCCTTTGTGTTGTGATTGCCATCCCATCTTTTGCATACCTCTAGAGATATTGATAATGTAGAGTTTACTACTGCGCATTGCTACAATTTTCCAATTGGTCAATATTTATTTGAAAACAAATGCACATAAATTGGCACGATTTCCCCGATTTTAAGAAAGAGATAATCAAGAGTATTTTTTAAAAAATAAGATTAATACTATGTGATAGTCATTACAGTGTTCTGCTTTTTTCACATACTGGTATTTCATTCTTACATAAAAAGGAATAATATGAAATATATAAATTAGTTTGTGATAAACAGATAAATAAACACATGTAAGTCCATGACGCAATATACCGGTATTTTCTTTGCTTCTGTTGATGAGAACAAAATGCGAAATAAAAAGACATTGGTAATTTCCCTGCTTGAAGGACGTACACACGTTCTATCCAGCTTGATGTCCCTGTAGCACTTCAGGCTTGTACCTCTTGACCAGTTCGATGGACATTTTTCCATTTGAGGTCTCACTGTTGCTTCAAACAACCGACATAATGTTTAAAATCATCAAATGTGTGTAAAACAGGTTTCATTTTTATTCGTCTTTACTTTCAATTTCTCTGCATTGTGTTAGGTGTACAGGTGAGTCAACACAAATGCGTTGTAGTTGCATCATGGGAAGATCCGGTCTCCATCTTGTGACGAAACCATTAGTTGGCGAAGTTGACGTGGCAGAGGTGAATTTTTACCAGTTTAGGGGCGATTTTGAACTAAGATCGCGATCAGACTTTACAGAACTGTAAACCAAAACAAGAACACATATTTCTACCAGTATCTAGGAGAGAGGTGGAAGAATTCCTACAAAAATGGGGCTGACAATCTCCAGTTTGTTTGGTCGGCTTTTTGGGAAGAAACAAATGCGTATACTTATGGGTGAGTAAGCGTCTTGATTCCCTGCCTCTGCTGGCATGAGCGGGCGAGGTCCGCGATTTTGTGCCATTTCAAATGTTAACTGTAAAGAAAGGATTGCTCAAAATGTAACAGATCCTTTGATTCTAAAGCATAAGGTGAATTATAACTCGAGAACCGGCTGATAGTGTTTATCATTGTCATAGAATTCCAACAGGTCCCATTGATCGTTGTCCTAATCCACAAGAGCTGTAAATTTTAATATTTTACAAAGTTGAAGACTGGAACCAGAATCAGATTAAAGGAGGTGGAATAGTCGTATGATCACACAAAAAAATTGTGTGTGTGTGTGTGTGGGGTGGGGGGGGGGGGGGGGGGGGGGGGGGTCTTAACTAGCATGCCCACCACTTTATGGATTTTAGTCTTTGATGATCATTTTGTTTTAGAAAAAAAATGAGTTTTGTGGTGACTTTGATCATCATATTTACTCTTCACTTGAATTAGTTTGGCAATGTACTGAATGGTTTATAGATGTTTTAACAACAAGCTTTAGGTCTACTCAAATTTAATGAGAGCTGAGGTCAGATGTCAGGGTTGTCCACCCTCAAACCAGGAAGTTAATTGCAGAACTAATAGCAATACTAATAACAATAGCAATACTAATAACAATAGCAGAAATGTCACCACAGTTGAGTTAAATAATATTGAAAGCCAATAACTTGCACATATAAGTTGTAGAGAATACTGCATTAGTAAAATATAGTAAATTTCATTTCTTTAAATACTAATTAAATTTTTTTTATGACATAAAGTCTGAGTGAGAGAGAGAGTTGATACAGAGCCCTACTGGTAATAAATTCATGTGTTATTCTTCTTTTTTTAAGTGGGTCTTGATGCAGCTGGTAAAACAACAATTCTATACAAACTCAAGCTGGGAGAGGTGGTCACCACAATTCCAACAATAGGTAAGATCATGCTATAGGAAATAATGTAAGGGAGGGACAGTAATCTTTTAAGAGACACCATTTTGAATCAACAGTCAGTTTTACCAAAAATCGAATATTTGTCTGGTTGTGCACATTTTGCCTTCAGGGTTTGAAATAACCAATGATCTGCCAGTCTTCTAAGATGGAAAATGATAAATGTCAGCTTCTTTTAACCTTCTGATGCTAAAATTATATTGAAAAAATTTCCAATTTTACTTACATTATATTAACCAACTGTTTTAGCTGAAAGGCCATTTTTCTGCTAAGAAATGTTTTTGTTTTTTTCCAGGATTTAATGTAGAAACAGTGGAATATAAAAATATCAGTTTCACAGTGTGGGACGTTGGTGGTCAGGATAAGATCCGACCACTATGGAGGCATTACTTTCAGAACACACAGGTTGGTGATGGCTTGGGGTTCTTCTCCTACTTATAATTTTCCTCAACATCTCACAGCGTCGTAAGCATCCAGATATTGTTACAGTATTGGTAGAAGTATAGCATCTTTAAATGCGTGTTTGTTTGTGCATGCACTTGTGCGTGTGTGTGTGAGAGAGAGAGAGAGTGAGGGATGGGGTAAATGATTCAGTGAGGTAATTTATAATGTTTATTTTTTCTCTCATACTGAGAAGTAATAATACCATGAAACAAAAATCACACTTTATATACTGCAAATTGTAAAGTCGAGTCTTCTGAATTCAAAGAAACTGCATTAACTTTTTTTGGGACCCATTGCAAGTATTGTGCCAGTTAAAAAACTATGTTCTACCTCATACAGCAGCGGGTATTTCTATTCAAATAATTTATTGTTCAAAGATGTGTTTATCAAATGAATATGAGCAGTTGTCACAGCTCCACATGTCAATGTTCCAGGGCCTTATATTTGTGGTGGACAGCAATGACAGAGAACGTATCCAGGAAGCAAAGGAAGAGCTCGGTAAAATGGTCAGTCTTCAGATTTGTCAGTTCAGCTTAAAAAATAAGGATATTTATGAAAATAAAACTAAAGAAAACAACAACAAAACATTATACTATATTTCAAAACTTAATATTTAATTTAGCATTATTACAAAATCCACTATACACAGTCTCACATCACATACTGTTGCTGCTGCTTGCCAATTTAGGTAGAGGATTTCTTAATGAGTGTTTATTTATTTTCATATAATATTTGATTTTAATGCAGTTACAAGAAGATGAACTAAGAGATGCAATACTGTTAGTCTTTGCCAACAAACAAGATTTACCCAATGCACTCTCGCCCACGGAAGTGACAGAAAGTCTGGGTCTTAGCACACTGAGGAACAGAAATGTAAGTCAAGGCCACAGCAGAGACACGGAATTGTTGCATGAATATGATGCATAATTTTTTCTCTTTCTCATCAAGATTAAACATAAAACTTTAAAAATTAAACTTAAATGAATTGAAAGCAATTAATTTCACAAACATCTGTCTTTTGGGTATTTTTTTCTGCTGTCTTGTTAAAAATATAATTTTTTTGTCATTAAAAAAAAACAAAACAAAACAAAACGTCAAAAAATTACAAACGTATAGGTCCAGCTTGCAACCTTTGAAGCTGAAAACTTGTTTTTAGTTTTAACCTGGCTTTCATATTGAGAGCACCAGTTAACATTGTTTTATTCCATTTCAGTGGTATATTCAGAGTACATGTGCACCCAACGGGGAAGGACTGTACGAGGGTCTAGATTGGTTATCAAACGAACTGTCCAAATAGGAGAAGAATTCAGATTCTCAAGACTTTATCCAGGGGATGGAAATCACAAGAGTTCCTTTCAGAGAACTTTTAAGGACCACCAGTATGACTCTGTCACACCTGACACAAATGTAGAAGAATATCAAACACAGCAGAACATAATCAGTTAAAATACAATATATATACATCAGTTGGACAGGAGTGAATTCTCACAGGGAAATTTGAACAAGTTTAGACTTTGTGTGAGGTGTGACAGGTGTCCCATTAGTGAGTTTCTGCATCAAGGATTCTATCAAATAATAATTAAAAACAATTAAAGGGACTCAGCCAGAGCTCTTAAGTGTCAAGAGGATTGAATGAAGGAGCAGATAAAAGGTGCTTTCCAAGACATTACTGGATACTTGATGCTCCTGTCAACCTCTATGAGGTCATGATCATTATTGATCAAGGTCATGGTCATTATAGGTCAAGGTCATTATGGGCCAAGGTCATGATCATTGTGGGTCAAGGTCATGATAAATGTGTCATGGTCATTGAGGTTTTTCATCATTTATTTCATCCCAGGCTATACATTAATCTGTGACAGAAAAGTGATCTTCATTGAGCACAGAATTAATTTTCAATTTCAAGTGAAATGGAAAATGCTAAAAAAATTATATGTTTTAACTGACTATTTACTGTTACAATTATTAAGTAACGTGATACTACTGATGATTTAATAAAATCCATAGATTATATAATGACTGTATTAGATGGATGCAACAATTAATATTTCGTTATGGGTCTGGTAGTATATTTATGGAAAAGAGGTTTGACGTAAAGGAGGGAAGCATTTGGTTTTACATATTGTATTGATAGTTAAAATATTTGTACATTAAAGCTAGTTCAGAATAGCTGAACACTGTTAGCTTTGGCATCCGTGTTGACAGAATTTCATGATAACGTCTCTTAGTTATTTTGGTGGAGCAAGTGAAAGGGACCAAATGCAGTGTTGGTTAAATTTTATGAAGCACTGCTTTTTGATCAAATGTTTCAACACAATTCCATGTTGAATTGCTGCAAACAAATCTGACAATTTATTTGAAGTTGCTGAGAGAGTGTGTTTAAAGGTTAATTGAAAAAAATGCATTCTTATCTTGTGCAGTTGGTTAAAGGTGTTCAGTTTAGTTTTAAGGTAGTTTTTCTTTTAAATATTTTCAGTGTCATGTCCCTATTATTAAACTTTGTGTCAAACAATAAAAGAATATGTACAAACTTATCAAAAGCAATTTGTTTTAAGTATATGAAAATGCCTTTCTTAACTACTGTTAATAATTAACCATTATTAACCCTTCAATAAATGATGGTAAATTAATTTTTACAAGAATGTGTTTCATGTGAAATTAGAAGTATTATTTTCTGAAGCATCAAGTTCTGGTGAACATGCAAATTACTTCTATGAATTTTAAAACAAAATGTCACTTTGAACAGGTGTTTATTTCTATATAAATAACATTAAATAATGCTCTGGTATTAACATCTAAACTGTTTGGATGCTCACTTTATATTGCACTCAATACTGATGAGCAATATTAAATATTAAAAACTCGTTAACATCTTAGAATATATTAAGATATTGCACAATTTATATACAATAACATAGAATATATAATCTTTTTCTTCCTTAAGTTTATATTTCATTCAAGAGTGAAGTGCAAATATAATGTAATTAGTCTTTCTACATGTCATAAACATTCACTGAACTTGTGTTATAACATGTTGAAACAATGCTCACTTGGTTAGAAGCGCAGAGATGGAGGTTTCTAATATGTAAACCTAAAGGATCACATGGACCAGCCTCCCTTTTCTCTAAAAGCACCATCTAGCACTTACTATTGGCAGCATTTACTGTAATGACTCGATCTTTTCAATGGGGCAAATTGTCAAGTTTTAAAAATATTGTATTTTTTAAATGTCATCAAATTTAAAAATTAGAACAGTTCTGTTGGGTGGTACAACAAAATTGAAAAGCAGTCTACCCTATAATCCTATTTTATGTAGTAAAAAATGTCAAAAATGCTACACGCAAAATTATTTTATTATGATTCTAAAATAAATATCTGAGAGATTTTCCTGTTGACAATATTAAAATTTCATTGGTGATCTGCCGTAGACATTAAAAAACAGATCTCAAGTGGGCTTGAACATTCCTATCAAGTGGTTGTAACAAAAACTGAAAAGCAGTCTAGTACCCTCTAGTCTTTAGTATACAATAAAAGCACCAAAAATGCTGCACACAATATAAGGATTCCAAAATATGCATCTGAAAAATAATATTTCCTTGCTAAAAGATCTGGTCATTTCAGTATACACTATTTCATTAAAAGATACCCTGCAGACATTAATTACAGATCTTAAGTGGGGTTTTTCATAACACTAACCCATACTGAGTCACAGAACTCGCCTGTTGCATAAGGCATTCACTCCCTTTGAATTATAAGAAAAAAAAGTGTTTTAAATTTTAAAGACAACTCATAAGATCAAGCAAAAGAAGACCCCACTCCCATAAACACCACCTGTGTACGTGGCTTGACCCAACTCTGTGGAGACTCTTGCTGAGTGCAAGTGGCTCAACTGACTGACATGTATCCATAAAATCACTAGCTTGTCTGTATTACTTAACACCAGGAGGAGGCGTGTTAATCTGTTAAACTGATTGCATTCAGCAAGAGTCCTTGCAGAGTTGGATTGATCCACATCGACCCTTGACATCTATGGGAATGGGACCTTTGTCAACTGAAGACCACCCTTTTGTATTCAGGTTTGCAAAAAAGAACAAACTGTTTGTTTGGGTAAAAGCATTTTTCTATAACGAAAAAGTTGGTGTTCAGTGTTTTTTTTTTCAACTGAGATTTCAGTTTTTGAGACCTTGGTAAAACCTGACATTGTCTTCAGTATAATACCCTTGAAATACAGATGTCTTTTTTCCTCAAGATGAAAGAAACAAACAAAAAGCATGTTAGCAGCCCCCAGTAAACAAGTATTTAAAAAAGGGTGACCGACAGTTAACAGATGAATTATAATTACTTCAGTGTGTACAATGTGACTTCAGCTTTTCTCATCTAGCACAATGAGAAGAATACTTGGCAGTTTCACAGCATTGTGCTAGGTGAGACCACTGTGTCTCACCCAACACAATCAGGAGTACAGCTTGATTCCAAAGCTTTTGTCCATCCTAAGTGGTAAAGTGCTGGAGAGAGCAGAGACCTCCCAGTAGAGACTCCTTGACACAAATAACCTGTACAGTTGTATCACAGCTAGGGACTGGCATAAAACAACACCCATTGTGACCATCTGAAAGATAAAATGACACAATAAAGGTCTTATTATTTCAAATGCAGACGCATTTTTTTTAGATAAATGACAACAAGAAAGAAAAAATAATTACGCTAAATAACACTTCTAAGGCATGTTAGGTTACGAGGGTTAGTATGTTTTTACTTGCAAAGACTATTCATTGAGGGGAGCTATGATGTGCACTGGTAATATTGTCATCTTGTTTATTAAAGCATGAACAAAATTAAGTGGCAGGGAAAACAGGGAAGTGGTGGAATAAATAGGAAAGATTACACATGTTAGAGACCCCTCATTATTTTTATATTTAACGTCATATGAAATGTTTCTATCTTTACCTTGTATCTCAGATATTCAGAAAACAGCCAGGAGACTAGTACTAAAACTGGGTAGCTTAAAAACCATAACAAGCAGCTCTTGAAGAAAAAAATGAAGAAAAAGTAATGGCACATAATCAAAGAAGGCAGGTCATTTATCTTCATAGGACAAACTGAAACTGACTAGTATTTTCTGATTGGCTGTAGAAATTCTTTTACCAAAATTGATACAGAAAGAAAATCATCTAACGGGTTGGTTTTCATTCTCTTCGGACATTTACTCTGGCCTGGGGCTTAGAATGAAAATCTTGCTAGAATATTTGAATTTATGAAAAATCAAAGTAATGGAATGGAGCATAATAAAGAAATTAATATGAATTACTTTGGCAAATGCTGTGTAAAACTGCTTCTTCATTGTGCTTCTCTCGTGCCTGACCGTGGAGTGTAAATGACTGGCAAAAATGGCCGCCAGGAGTATTCGTAAAGTGACTAGAGTTGCGCCTGCTAGGCTGCGATGTGCGTGATAAAGTCTATGTTCGTGCTCTTGGTATTGCTCCCATATAAATAACAGCCCCTAGGGTGAATAGAAAATCAAAATGAGTGATGGTTCTGTGGCTGAGTTTTGCAATGGAATCACAACATGTGAGCTGTGAATCTTTATTTGATAAATAAGCAGTGTGCTAAATGTGAAAGGAATGGTCAGGTGAATGGCTTGATCATTCTCTCAGATAAAAAATAACCGAATGAAAATAACAATCAAAACAAATCAAAAGTACACCATTTTGATATTTTGATATTTTGATATTACAAACCTAGAAATGTAACCTAAATAACAGAGCAACTGCTTTATGCTTTCTATTTTCAAACTTTTTAAAATTTTTAATCCCCTTGTAAACAGGTAGACAAACTGCAAGTCATAAAAAAATCAGAAATCAATGCATAAAAACTTCAATCATCTTTAATATTTTCAAATGACATAAAAGAAATCAATACACTCAAAGAAGTAACAGGTGCTTGGCATCAGTTCACTGACCACACCAAAGTTTGGGAGTCATAATATAAGACCTGACTGACCTGTACTGTCCCCAACACACTGACCACTTTGACAGCTGGGGTGCTCTTCAGGTGGTCAAGCCGAGATGGACGGTGGGAGGCACCCAGTGTCCAGCCAAGAGACAGACTGACCAGCATATACAGCATGGTGAACTGGGAAAGCACATCTAACACTGAAAGAGATAAGGAGGATTTGGTGGATTACAGATATAACTTAAGAATATCAATCTCCTTGACAAAAGTGAAGTCTTAATTTTTTCTATTAGACAAAAATCCATAATATTTGTCACCCCTCTGGAGGCAAGTAGCAGTGAATCTTATACCTAAACACTTCTGATCACTGCCATGCATCTACAAAATCTTTTATTACCAGAATTTCTCCTGCTTGACTTTTTTTAAACACAAATATGGCCTATTATTCACCCTGATATTCTGAGTCTTTTGTCACCTGTGTAAGCTTTACATTCCACCAACTTTAAAGAGATGGTACTAACTGAGGGCATTAATCTCAAGGTTGCGATACCTCATCTTATTTACGTATACTGAGGCCAATACGACTAAAAACTTACGTTCTGACAGAAGCTCACTGAATGGAGAGCCTACACCATCTCTTGAAAAGCTGAAATACACAACATCTTTGAATTTATTTTAAACAAAGGCATTGTCCAGTAAGTACAGCTTTTACAATGAAGCTACCAAAGTGCCATAAAATTGCTATGTTAATGGTGAAGAAACAATGTATAACAGCTTGGGATTGATATTTAATTGACAAATGGAAAAGTAAATAGGAATAAACATGATTTACTGATCAAATCAATTTATCCTTAATATCCTTAAAGAAACATACCTGCAGATGTGTGTGTGTGTGTGTGTGTTTGAGAGAGAGAGAGAGAGAGAGAGAGAGAGAGAGAGAGAGAGAGAGAGAGAGAGAGAGAGAGAGAGAGAGG